TTAAATTTTTTTTAAATTTAAGCTGTAATCAACACATGATATCGATTGAGCGTAACTTACTAAATCTGAAATATTCCTTAGAATTGTGTGGCATATTGAGGAAATGTGTGATAATGCTTTTCTAAGTCATCAGGACCATGAACTGGACACACACAAAAAGTCCATTAGACTTACATTGACGGAAGGAGCTGAACCACATCTACAGATCAGAGACATGAGGCTGAGCTCTTTTGACTTGTGCGGTCACACTTGCTGCTGTTCAGCATAATTTCACAGACAAACAGTCATTTAAATAGGAATCAGCAAAAAATAAATAAAAAATACAATCCCTATTGTTCATATGAGTTTTTCACTAAATTTCACCGAAATGTTGCTAATGTGACTTCTTGGAACACCTTAGCAACCATAAAGCAATGCTGGATCTTGTGTTTTAAGTATTTAAGAGCATCCACGAGCACGTGTCGCATCTGCCTGGCAAATGCATCAAGAATGACGTGTGAACGCAGAGTCTGAAAATAAGCCCAAGGACAAACTGCGCTTACACAAAAGACTCTCTGAAGGAGTAGGACGAGAGAACAGTGACAGTTTGAAGAAGAATTCAATTACCTTACCATTACAAGAGCACTAATGAAGTCTCCTCAGATCTGCAGCTACTCACTAGACATGGACAACAACTCCACCCTCTCACCTCAAACAAGGGTGGATGGCAAAATGCAGATGGGTGTGTGAAAACAGGTTGCTTTAGATCAGGGGTGTCCAAACTCGGTCCTGGAGGGCCGATGTCCTGCAGAGTTTAACTCCAACTTGCCTCAACACACCTGCCTTCAAGATTCTAGTATGTTGTCTAGTAAGAGCTTGATTAGTTGGTTCAGGTGTGTTTAATTGGGGTTGGAGCTAAACTCTTCAGGACACCGGCCCTCCAGGACCGAGTTTGGGCACCCCTGCTTTAGATGATGTTCTTGTCAGTTATGATAAACCTCACACGAATGAAAATGAGTCAAACAACAAAGTTAAACATTGGAGCAAATATTTAAGGCTTACGATTAAGAGTTGATAAGGATTGAAGCCAATGTAAGCACACATAACTGACACGATGCCATTTTGACATGAGAACATTTTAGGTTCCTGTCCTTTCAGTTTTACATGAGTGCTAAATTAATTAAAGGGCTCAAACCTTTTACATAAATACACAATCTATTATAAAAGGCTCTTGGCTGAGGTGGACCTTCAAAACACTGCAGATTCACATCAGTATCACACTTTTCATTGCTTGTAACTTTTAGGAAAACAGAAGATACACTTTTTAATTAAGATGTGCCTGTGAAGGTTTTGATGTCTTTGGACTTTAAATGTAAATATCAATATGGTTTTGTAGTAGAAAACAAAACTCAAGCCAGACTACAGAGAGCAGGCGGAAGAAGAGCTGCTTTTCTTCTAAATGTCCAGGGTAATGTGCTCTATTTTGTGTGTTAAAAGGAACAATCCCTGAGAGCTCGGAGAAGTGTGTGGATTCTGGGAAGCAGTCCAGCGAGCGAGAGGAAGACACAGAATCAAACAAACACAGACTCTTTCTTTCTCCCTCATACTGACACATTTGGACCCGTGGGGATAGATAGATAGATAGATAGATAGATAGATAGATAGATAGATAGATAGATAGATAGATAGATAGATAGATAGATAGATAGATAGATAGATAGATTTTAAATAGGAATCAGCAAAAAATAAATAAAAAATACAATCCCTATTGTTCATATGAGTTTTTCACTAAATTTCACCGAAATGTTGCTAATGTGACTTCTTGGAACACCTTAGCAACCATAAAGCAATGCTGGATCTTGTGTTTTAAGTATTTAAGAGCATCCACGAGCACGTGTCGCATCTGCCTGGCAAATGCATCAAGAATGACGTGTGAACGCAGAGTCTGAAAATAAGCCCAAGGACAAACTGCGCTTACACAAAAGACTCTCTGAAGGAGTAGGACGAGAGAACAGTGACAGTTTGAAGAAGAATTCAATTACCTTACCATTACAAGAGCACTAATGAAGTCTCCTCAGATCTGCAGCTACTCACTAGACATGGACAACAACTCCACCCTCTCACCTCAAACAAGGGTGGATGGCAAAATGCAGATGGGTGTGTGAGAACAGGTTGCTTTAGATCAGGGGTGTCCAAACTCGGTCCTGGAGGGCCGATGTCCTGCAGAGTTTAACTCCAACTTGCCTCAACACACCTGCCTTCAAGATTCTAGTATGTTGTCTAGTAAGAGCTTGATTAGTTGGTTCAGGTGTGTTTAATTGGGGTTGGAGCTAAACTCTTCAGGACACCGGCCCTCCAGGACCGAGTTTGGGCACCCCTGCTTTAGATGATGTTCTTGTCAGTTATGATAAACCTCACACGAATGAAAATGAGTCAAACAACAAAGTTAAACATTGGAGCAAATATTTAAGGCTTACGATTAAGAGTTGATAAGGATTGAAGCCAATGTAAGCACACATAACTGACACGATGCCATTTTGACATGAGAACATTTTAGGTTCCTGTCCTTTCAGTTTTACATGAGTGCTAAATTAATTAAAGGGCTCAAACCTTTTACATAAATACACAATCTATTATAAAAGGCTCTTGGCTGAGGTGGACCTTCAAAACACTGCAGATTCACATCAGTATCACACTTTTCATTGCTTGTAACTTTTAGGAAAACAGAAGATACACTTTTTAATTAAGATGTGCCTGTGAAGGTTTTGATGTCTTTGGACTTTAAATGTAAATATCAATATGGTTTTGTAGTAGAAAACAAAACTCAAGCCAGACTACAGAGAGCAGGCGGAAGAAGAGCTGCTTTTCTTCTAAATGTCCAGGGTAATGTGCTCTATTTTGTGTGTTAAAAGGAACAATCCCTGAGAGCTCGGAGAAGTGTGTGGATTCTGGGAAGCAGTCCAGCGAGCGAGAGGAAGACACAGAATCAAACAAACACAGACTCTTTCTTTCTCCCTCATACTGACACATTTGGACCCGTGGGGATAGATAGATAGATAGATAGATAGATAGATAGATAGATAGATAGATAGATAGATAGATAGATAGATAGATAGATAGATAGATAGATAGATAGATCTTTTTTATGTAGTTTGAAATATAAGTGCCAAATTAGGAATTCATAAACAAACGGGATACTCCACCCACAAATGATGAGTTGTTTACTCACCCTCACACCCTCAAATTATATTTTCTTTCAGTTGTGGAACAAATGTTGTATGATTGTCTTTTTGTGTTCTGTACAAGAAAGGAATGCATCCAGGTTTTGGAACAACATGAGGATGAGTTAATGATGACAAAAAAATTTTTATGTTATTATTCGGGTGGAGTATCCCTTTGAGCTGTGTAGCCTCAAGTGTATCCAAGATGTTAAAAAATACTTGATGGCCACAGCGCTTGACATTAAATCAAAATTGAAATCTGAATTATTATTTTATATATGTTTATGTTACATTTTAAATAGTATGACTTGAATCACCTTGGAGTTTTAAGATATTACATTTGACTACCTCAATTAAGTTTGCATTTTTGTTTTAAATAGGTCATAATACTCATTGAAATTATTTGAATTTTCTTTATTCCAATCAATGGCTTTTTAAAAAGCATTTTAATGTACTTTTGGATAACCTGATCAATCTGGACGACATATGAGCATCACATCATTGACCCACAAATACATTTGATTTATTTGATTTAATTTAATTTGATTTGGTTTATTATTTATTATATTTGATACATTTATTATATTTTTTCTTTCTTTCTTTCTTTCTTTCTTTCTTTCTTAACAACATACAGCGTTAAATGTGTTGATAACCATAGGGGATCACTGGATATACTGGGATTAAATAAAAAGAATACAGGATGATTCTCCTGGTTTCAGAACTATGGACAGCGCCGATATATTTTCCTGGCTTTTTGTCTCAAGTCACGCGCAAGTTACCAACACGTTTTAGAAGGGAAAAACTAAACAGCATCACATTCTCTTGCCTTGTAGCGTCAAAATCGATAACATTTCACGGTATACAGCGTGAACGAACAATAAGACATAAAACGGATTTCTAAATCAACAACATATTTCTAAATCTGCTACTAATCCATTAGGCTACTGTGTTGCCAACACCCGTCTGAACACGTCTGAACAAACAATTATTCTCCAAAGCCCACCATTCCCCAAATTAACTAATGCAACATTGCGGGTCTGCAACATCGAGAGGGTTTGCATAAAGATGAAGTCCCTGCTGCGCTCCAAATGTCAATCGGAGTGACGTTGGTGCGTGTCCCTTCATCTTTATGAAGGTGGGGGCTCGCGCTCTCATTGACATTCTGAATGGAAGTCCGCGCCTTTGCCATACATACGTGTGCATTCCAAGCACGTCGGAGACAACCAACGCAGCACATAGCTACAGCCGTTTATTGATAACATTTCAACAAGATTTGCGTATGGTCAGGGGGCGAATTATGGGGGGCGATCTAACTCAGCTAAAAGCTTTAAAACACCTAAGGAGGTCAAAACAAACCACTTGGGGACATAATCGTTTTAACGGGGTTGTTTCAGTAGGGTAATAAACGCGAACCACTGGCTGATCAATCGCTTTATTATAGATTTAGATACCAAATTATGACAAAAACGTGATTGTTTCTTTTAAAATTGGAAGAGGGCGCCAAAAGACAACTGTTGCGCCAAGATGAACTTCTGCTTTAAACTGCTTTAAAAAGCTGACCTCGTTGAAAGTAATTGTATAGCTACTAATTCGGATTCCGCGTAACCTACAGGTTGCATGGTTTATTTCTCAGACATTAATCTCTCCATGGTGAACTATTAATTCATATGCTCCCTCGTGCGCGTAATGAAATGAATGCAACAAAAGTCAGTGAGGGTTTTCATTTTAGGTTGCACTTGCCGTCGATGCGCGTTATCCCACAGCCCTCCCCTAATCGGTGGTAACCCCGCGCGTCTGGGGTTCATGTTTATGTCTGTCAGGTTTCCGATTGGGCGCCGTGTGGATGTGTGATGAGCATCCGCGCGCCGTGGGCGGGAACAGTCATGTTTATAAACCACAGTACGCTTGCCGTGGGCGGGAGGACCGGATCGAGAGCGAGAGGACGCGCGGCGCGGAGCTTGTGGAGGAGGCGCGGCTTCCACTGCCCCTCCGCCGAAACAGCTGTATGGACGACCACCTCAGCCTCCTCCACTCGCCTCCGCCTTCCTCGAGCAAGCACCGGGGCAACAACCTCGTGAACCACGGCTACACCGAAGACATCATGACAATTGTTGCATGCGACAACATGCTGGAGGAGTCGGCGGCGCTGCCTGGGCACCACTCTCTGGAGCGCTATGAGCCAGACCACGAGTGCTGCGAGAGAGTTGTCATCAATATCTCAGGCTTGCGCTTCGAGACGCAGCTCAAAACCCTGTCCCAGTTCCCTGAGACTTTACTTGGCGACCCCAAGAAGAGAATGCGCTACTTTGACCCCCTCAGAAACGAGTATTTCTTTGACAGGAATCGGCCGAGCTTCGATGCTATCTTGTATTATTACCAATCTGGAGGGCGCATACGGAGACCCGTGAACGTTCCCATAGACATTTTTTCCGAAGAGATACGCTTCTACGAGCTCGGGGAGGAGGCCATGGAGAAATTTCGAGAGGACGAGGGCTTTATAAAGGAAGAGGTGCGTCCTCTGCCCGCTAATGAGTTTCAGCGACAGGTGTGGTTGCTGTTTGAGTACCCGGAGAGCTCGGGTCCGGCCAGGGGCATCGCGATCGTCTCGGTGCTGGTCATTTTGATATCCATCGTCATCTTCTGTCTGGAAACGCTACCCGAGTTCAGGGACGACAGGGACCCGACGACGGCCGCGCCGCTGGCGAACGCAACTCTCCCGTTCTTCACCAGTCCCTTCTCTGACCCGTTCTTCGTGGTGGAGACTCTGTGCATCATCTGGTTCTCCTTTGAGCTGCTCGTGCGTTTCTTCGCGTGCCCCAGCAAAGCCACGTTCTCCAAGAACATCATGAACATTATTGACATCGTGGCCATCATACCGCCAGGATATTATCCTTTAATTTTTACAGACATTTCCTTTAATCCTAAAACACAGTGCAATGAAGTGCAAAATTCAAAATACTGGTAAAACACCTGTAAAAGAAATCAATACAGAAAATTCCTTAATATATAACACAATACATCATGCCCTATTTTTACAGTTGCTGTATATGATTTACTTTGAAGCAATTTGCACTCAAAAATTGCTAGTAATTTTCACAAATAGGCATAACTACAAGAAACACTTAATTAAACATGATATTTTCAAGTAGAAAGACTGAAATAGTATTTTCTTTAAAAAAAAACTTAATAAAATACTTAATTTCCCCCCAAAAAATAAGTGCTTTATTTTTAATTAATTAATTTTTTTGTTTGTTTTTTTTCACAGTGTAATAGTGATTATTTCATTGTTACTGGTAACACATATTTTGTCATTGAATTCTATTGGGTTAATATATCAACTATTAACTTCCGACTAGTAACATTTTGTTTTTATTGTACTTTATCTATACAGCCATTCTGACTAGTATTTACATCTAATGATCTAATATATCTAATGATGTACTGTAAGA